CCCCCCGCCTCTCCAGCCCTCCAGGAATGCACTAATTGGACTGATGAAGGCCAAACATACCACTTGTAATATATATAAATGGCTCATTAGGCAGAGAAATCGCAGTGCTGGGCTGAAGACACTGGGAACATGACATGGGGAGGAGACGCTCGGAGACAGGGAAAGGCATGAAACAGCCCCCGCCGAGCCGCCTTGCCGTGAGAGTGCAGGCAAGAGGGCAACACCCAGATCAAACGGGGGTGCTTGCAAAATGACTGCTGCTGCTGGCTGTTGGAAATGAGGCAGGGATGGAGGAGCAGGAGCCTCCATCTAGGTCTCCTGGAGATCCTCTCCTCCCCACCATGTATGCGCCCTCTCCCCAATATATGTTAAGGGCTCTCTCGTGTGCAAACGCGCACTTGAATTTCCATGGAAACATACATGGCAGCAGTGTCAGGGGGGAAAGGGGAGGATAGCTGGTTTGCCCCGCTGTGGACTTGGCTCGGCATCTGGAGACCATCCCCTCCCTCAGGTTGCTGTGCCCACATGCCCTATTTCTGGGCCAGGCTTGTTCCCTGGGCGGGCTGGGGGTGCAAGGAGAGCCCCGGCAGGATGCTGGGGAGGCTGATGGAGCTGCTGGCTTCCTCCCATGCCTGAGCCTCCTCCTTCCCCGTTTTTTGTGGTCCCCAGTGGTGCAGGGGGTGGCCAGTGCCACCAGACTCCTCTGCACAGAGCCAACTGGATGGGAAAGGCAAGCAGCAAAGCCCTGGGCACTTCCCTCCTGCCAGCTGCCTCCCAGGAGAGGTGCTCCTCTTGGGACCCCACACTCCTGGGGCAGGGATTACCCCCTGGCTGAGGCCAACTGACAGCACCAGAAGAGGATGTTCTTCTCCTGACCCCCCAGTTCATGCCAAGCCCTGATTTGTGCTTTCCCCCCGCTCCTTTGAGCAGAGGAAAGTGCAAATGAGTCCCTTGCACCCCTCTTGCAGCCCCAGGCTGGGCATGCACCGCCCTGAATGCAGCATCGAGCTCCTTCCCCAGCCCTGCATGGCCCCTGCCAGCACTGTGTCGAGCACCGAGGGTGTCCCCGGGGACGGTGTTGCCAAGCGCTCAGCACAGCGCAGCACGTGGTCCTGCCCCACGCGAACCGCCCACGGCAGGGGGGACACACGGCCAGCCCAGGACACAGGTCTCAAGCATGTGCCATCCTGAATCTGGACCCAGTGGTAGGGATTGGGGTGAAGAGGTGTAACCCCATGAGGACCATGAGCCAGCAAGAGCCTGCCATGGGCTGACTGGAGGGAAATCCTCTCACCACTGGCCCCATCTTTATTTCAATCAAGGAGCTGGTTCCAAGCCGACTGCCAAGCCCTCAGGGGCTGATTTCATTCCAGGGCTTGACTGAGTGATGTGCAAAGCCTCATAGACAGGACTCCAGGCTCCCTAATAAGCTCAGGAATTGACTCATGAAGGCTCCTCAGAAGCTAGGATTTCATCTCCCATCTCTGGCTCTCCACTGGGATTTCATCTCCCATCTCCCTGTCTCTGCCACAGGACTCCTCGGTGACACTAGTCAAGTCACTTAACCTGATTTCCTGGTCATGGCTATGGCTTTCAAGGTGCCCCAGGCCAGTGCTGCAGTCTTGTGTGAAAATGTGCTCAGTGTTGGGTGACCCCAGAAAGCAGCTGGGCAAACCATGGTGAGATGCCCCCGCCAATGAGTAGCCCCCAAATCAGCTCCCTGGGGACAGCAATGAGCTGGGCAGAGCCTGCTGAGGAGCATGGGAGAGGGCAGGAGATGAAGATGGCTGAAGGTGACCATCCAAAACCCAGGGAGAGGCTGTCTCCAATGCACCAAGGCCCGGAGCTCAGCTGGTGTTTCCTACCTGCATGAGATTTCTTTGGATGGGCGTTTTGGGGGAGGCTGTTCCTCTTGTTCCTCCTTGGCTCACTCCCTTACTGAAGCACCACTCCCAGTCTCTGCCATCCCTGCTTGCCCAAAGGAGCCCCCTGGCCCATGAGCATTTCTATAGGAGCCATATTCTTTTTATACATATACACATGCACACGCATATGTGTGTGTATATATAAATAAACAGCTATTGTTTTAATTAGCCATTGTTTCAGAGCTCTGGAAACTGTTCCCTTCTGAAGACCACCCCGAAGGCAGAGATCTGTGCGGGTTTACAACTTGGCCCTCCCCAAGCTTGATACTCAGGATGACTTTCTACGCTGCTCGAGAGCTCAAATACGTGGGCAGCCAAGGGGGTAAGGAAAGCAAAGGCCAGGGCATGGTGGCTTTCTGCCTGTCCTGAGCTGGGTCTCCACCTCGCATCAGTGCTGTTCAGTCTCCTTTTTCACCTCCTTCTTATGGCAGTCAAGATGATGAAGACCCTGATGTAGAACCTGCTCAGATCCATGGTCAGAACAAACAAGAAGGTGTTTCTTCACTCTCACACACACAGTATAATCATGTATTTAACCTGTGCAACTCTGTCACAGGATGGTGCAGAGGTTGAAGTCACCCATGAGGTCAGAAAGCAACAGTACAAGTTCATGGAGGGAGAATCCATTGAGCGCCATCGAATGCAGAGATACCGCCTGTGGCTTTCTAAGCATTTTCACTGGGACTGGCAGAGTATCGCAGAGAAGCACCTATATGTGTTGGGTCTGTAATTGTGTTCTATGTTGGCCTCTGTCAAAGAGCAGACTGACGCTCTTTTTACGTCTTGCACTGATGCAGACAAAGGCTGGACACACAGACCCAAGGAGGAAAATAGCCGCGGAGCCATTTTCTGTTCTCCTTAACGTCTTCTAAGCTGGTGGTTTAGCAGCATCACAATTGCACCCCTACCCAGTGGAGTAGCTTATGGGTCTCCCATAATCCGTTCATTTTCAGCACTTTCCAAATGTAATTCTGTGGTGGAGGCTCCGTAAGCTGAATTACAGCCCCAAGCAAATTTATACAGCTGAGATCTAAATCCCTGTGAAAAATACCGCCTTCTTATGGAAATCCAGCGGCAGGGAGAGCGATGGTGCCAAGTTGGCACCATGGCCAAATAACAGGGAGCCTTATGAAAAAGGAAAAATGAGCAGGGGGTGAAGGGCGGGAGGAGGGGTAAAGCTTGGAATGGGGAAAGTTTCCAAGAAATCCGCTCCTTGAGCTTATTGGGTTTTTAAAGCAATATATCTCTATATATGTCCCTGGCCCTTGTGCTTGGAGAAGATCCAGGAGAAGCAGAAAGAACTAATCAAACCTCAATGAGAGCTGTTAGTAGCAGACTGAGTGCCAGCACAAAGGGGAAATTAAAGCAGTGAACAACAGATCCTAGAGGAAAAAAACACACAAATGTTTGCTTTGTTTTCTTAGGGCAAGAATAAAATAATGATTCCAATTAGTTGGTAACTAGCATCAGGGCGGAGTTCTGCAGTACCAGACCTGGGTGCAACCTCCACCTGCCTCTGCACAGAGGGGCAGGGGGAAGCTTGTGAAGAGCGATGGGGTGAGGCACATTCAGCCAGGCAAACCTAGAGAGCACCTGCTTGCTACTACTGGTCTGTCAGAAAGCACCAAACCTGACCAAGTTCAAAGATATGGAGATCCCACCTTGTCCTGGATGTGATGGAGAGCCCTGCTCAGAGAGACCAGTGGTGCCAAAGGCAAAGATGCTCCATGGCACTGCAGTGTGTGGTCCACTGCAGTTTCTGATGGGTTACTGCCCGGCAATGAAGCAGACTGAAATCTTTTGTGGTTTTGGCCATGACAGCTCACAGGGAATCTCCATAACTTGCTTGTGCTGCAGGTATTTGCCAGCAGTGGCCCCAAAATTTGTATCTCAGCTGTGAAACAGATTGGCATTGAACCCAAGGGAGCCCTTGGGTCTGTGCCTTGCGGCTTGTGGGAGGCTCTGCTTGTAGACCCCAACTTGCAGCCTCAAGCTTAGGTCTAACCTTTCCCTTTTGCTTCCCCAGGGGCTGGATGGGGCATCCCAAGAGCCTGCAGCCCATGGCCAGGGATCCGGGATGGCTGCAAGGTGCACCCATGGCCATGGCCTGGCAAAGATGCCCAGCTCAGGCGTCATCCCTGCATGTGGCTGGCATCAGAGTGGCACAGGCTGGGGGGGTTTAGCCACAGGGGTTTCATCAGGCTGTAGGTCTGTAAACCCCATTGGGTCCAATGAGAATTAGGTGCCCAAATACTTTCAGAAATCTGGTCCTCTGTGGGTAAGCTCTGAACCTGGTGTCCCTCTTACTATTAGTCCAATGGATGTTGTCAGCTTACCTGTGCTCTCCCCATTGTCTACTGGACTGACAACTTCTGTGCCCACTAAATGGGGAAAACCAGCTTGTTTTCAGCTTTTCCAGCACTACCCTCTCACCTGGCCAAACAGTCCTCTGTCTACCGCACCATCTGCCCCAGAATATCACAACTCACCTTCACATAGTCGTATTCACAGAGGTAGGATGACTCCAAGTCAAAATGCATGAAGTACAGCTTGATTTTAAATCCGTCAGGCACAGAGATGTTCCACGTCACTTCTGAGTCACTGGGATAGGAATCAGGGAAGTTGGGAGACTGAATCTCCCCAAACATGTCTGTCAGCTCGATGGCATCCGCCACGCACAGCAACAAGGCACAAAAGGACCAGGTCAGGAGGTACCTGGAAAACACATGTGAGGAGATGAAATGAAACTCTGGCGATGCCAAAATCTGTTGAGGGCTCAGTCTCTTTTCCCGAGTGGGTCATGTAAGGTCACACACTCAAAATGGCTGGGAGAGGAGGTAGAGCACCGTGTCACCATAAGCAAACCCCTCGCCAAGCTGCAGAGAGGTGGAGGTGAGGGTGGGAGCTGCATGTGGCTCCCAGGAAGGGAAAGCCTCTTTGAAAGGTGGGTGACTCAGGCACCACATGCAGTTCGAAGGCACCTCCGCAGCTCCCAGCCAGCTCTGGGCACCATCAGGAGCTCTGTGTTTCTCATGCTGCTGGGAGCAGCAGCAGCTGGAAATGCGTCCTTTAACTAATGGGGCTCTGATGGGCAAATCTTCATTTAATGGAAGAATAAACATAAGGATGCTTAATAAAATAATGACGCTTTCTAAATCAGTTTAATGAAAGCATCATGGCAATAACTGCTAAGTATCATTATTATTATTACTGCTTAGCCTCATCCTGCCAAATTGGGATCATTGACTCTCAATAAACAGCACACATCTTTGCATCTGGGCAAGGATGGACTGGATCTCCAGCAGTGTAACCCAGCATGCTACTTTCCGCTAATCTCTTCTCTTCTCTTTTTTCTTTTCCTTTTTTCCTTTTCTTTTCTTTTTTTTTTTTTTCCCTTGCTTTCTCTTCTCCTTCCCTTTCCCCTTCCTTTCCCTTTTACTTTTCCTTTCTTTTCCTTTCTTTTCTATTTTTCTCTTCAACTCTTAGGGTATCACTAATTCAACATGGAGAAGCACACTGAGGTTGAGATCCTTAGAGATCTTTTGTCACCAAATTCAGCTTTTAAAAAATCTCAGCCTAAAGAGTTTGCCCCAGCTTGTTACCAACTTGTTTGTCCCAGAGGAGGGCAGAGAGGACAGGTAAATCCTTGGCAGTCCAGCTGACGTTGCACCAGCCTCAAGCTCCATTTGAGCATGAAAGTGTGCATAAATTGAGTATTTCTTCATGCAAGGGGAGAACATCACCTGTGCTGGAGGTGCAAACACAAAAGCCTGTGCCATTGCATGGGACCCAGGAAAAGGAGCAGACCTCAGGCTCTTCCACCCAGCAGAACGCACAAAGGAAAAGAAACATGCAGGAAATTAGAGCCATTAGAGATGGAAATTTCTGCTTTCTAAAATAGGTACTAAGGCCTGGCAGAGGTTGTAGGTGTGTATTACAGGCTCTGGAACTACTCACATTTACATGTACACCCGGTTTCAAAATCAGGGCTTGATTTAGGTATGCTGGTGAGGAAATTGAAGCTATATAAGTGGATTATTTTTAACCTGTCTGTGTTCTTTCAAAACCAGGGCAGTAGATTTCTGGGGCTCATTTGTGTAGTGCCATCACTTTTCCCAGATCTTCATTACAAAGCAAAGTTAATGGGAGCTGAGAAATGTTGATTGATTTTTCTTTCAAGCAGAGTGAGGTTGAACATGTCTTTTTCTGACAGCTTGTCTGAAACCACAAAACTGCGTGAAGGGAAAATCTGTTTCTCCTCTGGTCCGAGTACACGCATGAGGCTGGGTGCTCAGCTGATGTAAACGGGCAGCATCACCTCCTCGACTTGAACGGGCCGTTTGCCTGAGCAACTCTCTGCCTTCCCTTTAAACAGGGGAGGCAAAACAACACCAAACTTCTTTCCCGTGCCAGGAACCTCACGTAAAAGTGATAAAGGCCCATGGCGTGCACAGGAACCCGAAGCCCGTCCAGCCTCGCTCGCACCTTCCACCCCGGTCCACGGCGGGGCCGCGCACCGGGGCTGCGTGCCCGGCACTCCGGGCTCCCTTCGGCTCCGCCAGGATGCCGGCATGCAAACCGGGCTGCAGCACGAAGCCGAGGCACGAGCAACGCCTCGTTCTTTCCCAGCTGAGGAAACCGAAGCCACGGTCATCAGAAGGAAACCTTCCTCAGCGGGACGGCCCCCCCGCCCGGCCGTGCCCCCCGAGCGCGGCGTGCGGAACCCCAGGGTCATCCCGTAGCGGTGGTACTCACCTCATTTTGCCGCCGGGAGGGTTTGCCGGTGGGTTTGAGGCGAAAGAGTGCCGGTTGGTTCGCGGGGGAGGGCTTCGCCTCCTTCCAAACGCTCCGCCGTCCGCCTTATCTCCGTCCGGAGATTTGCGAGCGTGTGCGCGCCGATGTGTGTGTGCGGCTGGAGCTGTCTGGCATTTTCCATGCAGGTCACGCCTTCCCCTGCCTGCAACCCATCCCCACAGGCACGCAGGCAGACCTGCCTGCATTGGAACCGTCCTCCCCGCCGCCGCCGCCCGCCGCTCCCTCCTCTCCAGCCGCGGGGCTGCCCGTGCGCTCCAGCAAAAGCCACGGCATTCAGCGAAGTTTTTGTCTTCCCTAATCTCCAGAGTTTTTGTTTTGTTTTGTTTGTGTCTGTGTGTGTATGTGTGCCCATGCACACTGGGTTTTCTCTCTTTCTTTTTTTTCTTCAACCCCCCCCCTACAGCCTGCTTTGCCAGATGGCTAAAATTTGCCTCTCAATAGGGTCGGAGGCTCCAGCAAAAACAGAAGGCAAGAACGTGTGAAAAAAAAAACCTGCGCGGGGATAAATAGTTGTAGTGGTGGTGCTGCAGCTGAGATCCGTGCTCGGGACTTGCTTCAGCTTCTCTGCTCAGTGCCGTGCAGCGTTTGGGATGGGAATCTGGTTTCCAAGAAACTTCTGAGTTGTGACAGTGCGAATAAAATCAAGACCTAGTTTGCAGCCTCCTGCAAAGCTAAGGAATTGCTGGGTTCAACATTTTGTCCCAGGATGAAAGAGCAGCTTTAGCTGCAGACCCTGCTCGGGAGTGAGAACTTTTAACGCTAAAGCTACAGGTTTTGACCCTGGCTCCCTTCTGTCGAGGAAACAGGTAAAAACATGAACATTCTCCACTAAGCCACAGGAGATTCATTTCCCTTCCCTGTGCCAGGCACAAACCGACCCAAACCCTTTTCATCTGTAGAGCTAAGTGGGAAGAAAATCTATTTGGACTGCAAACAAGGGAATAGCCCGTAGGAAGTCGAAGGATGCAAGTGACTCCCTCATCCAGAAATGACACCCTTGGAGACACGAAGACCAAAACTTTCATAGCTGTTTACCGACTTCAGCTTGAGCTGGTTAATGTAAACCCTGCAGACATCCACTGGCAGGCACGGATACACATGCGGCATATTAGAAGGCACTCACAAACAAGAGTGGGGAAGAGTCAGGGAAACAGGGATGTGTTGGCACCACTCCTGCAGCAGCAGCTTCCAGCCCTCCCCAGACTCCCCAGCTCGCTGATGTCAGGCTGCAGCACTGCCGTCAAAGCGGCTTTTTTTTCGGCGGCAGCTGCTGCCCTTCCAGCCATCCCAGAGATCTTGGGAGAGAAGGGGATAGAGAGAAGAAAAAAGTTTTCCTCTTTTTCCATTTCTTGCCTTTGTGCTCTGGGGGTGGCAGTTCCTTGGCTTCCTGTGCAGAAGCCACTTCTTGCTCCTGTGGGTCTCTGGTTCAGCGCTGGGAAAGAAATGGTACCTAGGAGACTCAGTCAAGTAAAATAGAAAAATATGAGTGGAAAAGCACCAGAAAAATAGCAGAAAGGCTCTGGGCAAAGGAAAAATTTTGGTCTGCCATTATTTGTAGCTCTATTTGGGAAGTTTTAACAGCTCATCACTGTGCAGAGACGAGCTCTCACTCATGCTAACACACCCAGGCAAGCTGATCAAACTAATTAATATGTAAGCAATGTGTCAAACGCAAGGCTTTATTTTTGCAAGCAAGTGTGGTCTTGTCTGAGCCCTGAATACGTTGTGATCTATTTTTTCCCTGCCTGTTCTGCAGGGTGGGTCGTTCATACACTCATTTTTCCATCGTGACAGCCTTCTATGGCTTTTTGGAACAGCTCCTCTAATTCAGGGACAACTTTAATTCCAAAGATACATTTTCTTTGCCTCCTGATGCCTCTTTCAAGCCAGATCACCAAGGGTCAAAGTCTGTGTTTACACGATGAGGCTGGACTGGGACAACAGAAACCCCACGTGTTTTCAGCCCGTGTTCCTGGCTGTAGCATGGATGTAAAGCATCCATACTGACCCTATAGGCTCTGGAGGGCAGGAGAGGATGCCCAAGAGGCATGTCACTGTAGATCCTATCAGCAGCCCTCTGAGCTGATTTCCCTGCCAGACTTCCATATCCTGGGGTGTTTCCTTGCTCCAGTTCGTGTCCCCATCCACCATCCTCCCAAAGCCCTTGGTGCGCGGAACTGAAAATCCTTGCAGGCGCACACTGGCTTGGGGATCAGGTTTTCAGAAAGAAAACCATGGTCAAATCCGACCTGAGACAGCATGGGCTCCCAAAGAAGGTTTAAAGGCAGTGGCTAAAAGGCCTCAACCTCATTCCTTCTGTCCCCCAGTGCCTAAAGCTATCTGCAGCCTCACGCATTCCCATTCCCTCTGGCTCCAAGCGGCATCCCCAATGCCTGCAGTGTCCCAGTCCTCTACTAAGTGGCTTGGTTCATCCAAACCACTCCTGTTGGAGCCCTAATTAGCTGGCCAGGCTAACTGCATTGCCTCCCTCGGTGACAGCAGATCAGACACCCCACAGCTCCTGTGGGTCTGGGGCTGCTGGGTAGGGCTCTTCCCACTGAGCCACAGTGCCACCAAGCAGCCATGTGGGATTGGACTGCAGTTTGTCCCCAGCCTCCGTAGCAATATAAACCCATGCTGCAGAGTCTGCTGGTGGGGAGATGGACAGGAGCCTGCAAAGGGAACATCATGGAGAATCTGCTCCAGCTGCAATGCCTTCTCCAGTGTTATTCCCACCTGTTCAAGAGGAAGGTCTGCCATGGCCAGGCCTGGCCACTCACACAGCTGTGTGAAGTGTCCACCAAGAGTAAAGGCAAAAAAAAGATCACCGAGAGGAGGACCTGCTGCTGGCCAGGTGGGTGCAGGCAAAGGTCACCTTGTCTCATGTATGCTGTTATCTGCTCTTTACCTAAACCGTCCAGCTAACACATAGCTATCCATCTCAGTGATGCCAGGGGCATTGAGTCTTGTCCTCACCTTACGGGAGAGCTTGCAAAAATGTTAACTGGCGCCTCACCATGCAGTAACAGGATTGGGCATGCTGAATCGTCAACGATGAGTGTTTTCTTCCCCAAGTTCTGATGGGACAGTGGAGTTACACTGTGACGGACCAGCAGATAGGCTTGGACCTGCTTCCTCACCAATGTTTACCATACTTGAAGAGGTCATCCCTGAAGTTACTTCTGCATGTCCATGATGCTCACCAAGGAGTGAGCTCAGTGGTGTTGTCCAAAGCATTTCTTTAACACTGAGATCAATTCAATTCCTGGAAATAATACTCCTACCCTCTGTGGCTGAAACAGCTGTGAGGGATAAATGCGGACCTGCAGGAATAAGACTGTAGGATGAATCCACAGCTGGTGTCAATGATCATACACTGAACAGCCGTATCCTGCAGGAGCTTGTTGCTGAGCTGCGCCTTGGGCCGGGCCAGCACAGCCCACACCACAGCCTCTCTCAGGCCCTGAACTGGGCACACTGCGACATATGCGCTGCTCCTTGTTATGACGTATGTGACAGTGACAAAAGCTCTGACAGATCCTGCTCCTCGACAGAGGTCTGACATCTCTTCTGCTCTCCTCCACTCTGAATGCGGAGGAGACCCTATCCTCCAGGAGATGTGAGCTCTGCTCCTGGCATCTCTCCTCTGGCTCACGTAGGTTCCTGGAGCCCCCTCGTGGCTCTTAGCACTGACGAGATCCCACCGAAGCCATCCTTGGGGAGCTGCTGGTGAGGCCCACAGCACCCTGCTGCAGGTTCTTTTTGCAGCCTCAGTGCTATGGAGGCAGCAGAACACACCTCGGGGATGTCACTTGGGGCAGAGGTGACAAAAGAGACATTCAGGAGTCTGAACAGGGCAGACAGCCCCATTGCAAAGCCATCTCCCTGCTTTGTGAGCCTGGGAGGAGATGTGTCTTTCAGCACCTTTGCAGTCCCCTGTCCTTGGAGCCTGCTGCACGGTGGGTGTGCTGTAACTGTCCCAGGTGGAGGTGGCCACAGCCCAGACCTGGAGAGGAGGAGAAGGAAGACGAACGAGTGTGGGAAAAGCAGGATAGATGACAATGGAGAAAAGAAGGAGCGTGGAGATGGGGAAAGGAGCCTACGCAGAGGCAGGGAAAAGGGGCGGTGGGATGGTGGCAAAGGGCGACTCTGCGGAGAAGAGGGCAGAGCGGGCGGGAGGCAGCGTGCCCGGGGGCGGTGAGCAGGGGAGGTCTGCCCGCGAGATGAGGACGTCCCTGTGTCCCACGGGGCCCCGGGTGCCACTAGATGGCACTTGAACTTCTGCCTGGTGAGGGCGGCGGGGACAGCGGCCCGAGCGCGGAGCGACGCGGCGGTCCCCGGAGAGACCGGGGCAGCTCGGGGAGCACGGGGCTCCGAGAGGCTTTTCCGAACCGCGCCTTGCAGGTAATTCTGAGCTATCGGCTGGGTAAGGAGAAATTTTAGAGGTGAGATGGCTTTTTGGGACAGATGAGTGGCACCCAGGTTTCCCTGCCCGCCCCTGGGCTGTGCTCGTTCTCCTCTGGCATCTGCCCTTTGCAGAGGTAACTTGCTGAGTTAGCACCCAGCATCGACTAGAACCTACCTAAAAAAAAATAATCTAGTGCTCTATCAGCACAGCCCAGTGGCTGTTTGCAATAAATCGATGCTTTGTTTGGCTGCGAGAGAAAATCAGATCCATAACGCTGCAGATGGAAATACTGAGCCCTCTTTTTCCCTTTTTCAGCCCCATCCTCTGCCTCTACACGCACATTGTGAGATACAGTGAATATCCTGAGTATCAGAGCACCCTGAGTATCAGAGCATGTTCACAACTGATACGAGATGATCAGGATTGTTTCAGCAACCTGGCATCCTCTCCTCTGCTGAGACTGGGGGATGCTCAGGTGAGCCCAAAAGGGTGCGTGGAGGAAAAAGTGCACGTAGCACTGAAAAGCCAGGGAAATCAGATTGTTGTGTCATATACTGGCCCAGTCAAATATGTCTTCTGCAGCTGCTGGGCCCCAGCCACTGCATCGCTGGTTCCTGACAGCTCCCAGGGCTGTGACTTTGTGCTGGTATTTAACCATGTGTGTTGGCCCTGATTTTGATGACTATTTTGGGATTGCTTCCCTTTGTATTACAGTGGAAGGGAAGACCCTAAAT